AAAAAATTGAAGCAGAAGGAAAACTTCCAGACTCTTTCTATAAAGCCAACATTACCCTGATCCCCAAACCAGGCAAAGACCCTACCATAAAGCAGAATTTCAGACCAATATCCCTGATGAATATGGATTCTAAGATTCTCAACCAGATCCTGGCAAATAGGATCCAACAGCACATTAAAAAGATTATCCACCATGACCAGGTGGGATTCATCCCTGGACTACAAGGATGGTTCAACATTCGCAAATCAATCAATGTGATAGAACAAATTAATAAGAAAGTTCATCTTTTTAATAAGCTTTCTCATTGGAGGCAAAAAGCACAGCCTGGAGGCTGGGATAAGCTTCAGGTGACACCCTTTCTTGAAAATATGCATATAGATGGGCTCCTGGCTACGTCAGTCCCTGGAGCATGTAACTCTTGACCTCATGTTTCTAAGTTTGAGATCCACACTGGGTGTAGAGATTACATAAAAATAAAATCTTCAGGGAAAAAAATGAATATATATTTCCTAAAACGATATAATGTGTGCTGTCATCTGGATGGATTTGATCTTCTGTTCTATATATTTAACAAAAGAAAATGTTTTAGTAATGCTAATACTTATTAGTATTAATATACATTAATATACATTTGTTAGTATTGATATACATATCCTTCTGTATTAACATATAATAATATACATGATACATATTAGTATTAATATATTATAATGTAATATAATACATTAATATTAATATACGTGTTTAACATTTGAGAGTCTCCGTGGGTCCCATGTGTAATAAAATGACAGAGTTCCAGCAGGGCTCCCGTTCATGCCCGAATCCCTGGGAAATATGTTCTACTGCTGTCACCAGTGAAGAGATTAACCACCTCAATACATGTGTCACCACTTGGAACCTAAGGCCCTGGACCTTTTCCCAGCCCTACATTTGTCTCTGTCACCATGTTTAGTGCCTCTGGCATACATCTGACAGGAAGTCCCATGGAAGTTTCTCAATAAAAGAGGCCCAGAGACAAAGTTCGTGGTCCAAGGGGTTTTTGTCTCACTTTCTCATTGTCTGAGACACTGTGAGTAATGGTAGCTGCTCCCACCACCATGACCTGTAGCACAGTAATAGTCAGCCTCATCCTCAGGCTACAGCCCAGAGATGAGTTGAAGCCCTGCATTGGTCGAGACATCTACGGAACCAGAGAAGTGGCTGGGAATCCCAGAGCCCTGGTGCTTGCTTGAGTCTGAGTAGTAGTTCAGCAGATACCAGGGAGGGCTCCCTGGCTTTTGCTGGTACCAGTATATGTGATAGCTGCCAACACTGAAGCCGCTGCTCAGGGTGCAAGTGAGTCTGGCTGTTGTTCCAAGAGATGCAGAGAGGGATGGTTGCTGGATCATCTCAGGCTGGGACAGGGAACCTGCAAACACAGACACATCACAGTTAAGAGAAAGGTTCCAGCTGTGTTGGTATCTGAGACAGTGGAGTCTGTTTCAGACTGAGGACCCACCCTGAGGCACTGAGGACCCTCTCTACCTGTGCAGTGACAGAGGAACATGAGGAGGACAGTGGTCCAGGCCATGGTAACACAGCCCTTCTTAGGCCACAGAGGTGGGGCTGGGATGTCTCTGGCCTGTCTTATCCTCTCCCCAGGGGCCTCACAGATGACGGGCTGCTCATGCAAATGTGACCCACCCCTGACTCTCCCTCCTCTGCTTTGCAGATTTATGGCCCTTTGACAGGGACAATTCCTGATGTGCTAGTTTCTTCATGGTGGGCCAGGAGGAAGGAGGTGCTGGGACCTAACAGGCCCTGTTCCAGGGACTTATCCAGCCTCAAAGCGGATACACCTGCATTGTCCCCACTGAACACTAGGGATCCAGGCTTGAGGTCTCCTGTCAATGGAGGGCTTCCCTGCTTTGAGACCATGTCTTACAGAAACCCACCAGACACAGTTTCACCATGCCCTCTGTTGTTGTCTGGGAGAACTCTCCTATCCAACAGATGACAAACCTCTACACCTGTTTCTGTGATGCCTGTGTTCCAGCCAAATGACCCTGATTCTCTAGGGAAGGACAGAGGTCCTGGTGTGCTGTCCTTGATCAGGTTTCTTCCGTGAACTGGGGTCTAGCAGGAAGTACATGAGCAGTCCTGACCCAGGAGATCCTGTGAACCTCTGTGGAGCGGACGGCAAGATACAGGGAACAAAGAGCAGAAGGAATCTGTCCTTGCAGGAGGGCCACAGAGGAGGTGGGCTGGCTCTGGGTACTGAGCATGAACAGGAGTTTATGGAGGGGACACACACCTTCACAGAAGAGGACACCAAGTGTGAGAATGTTGGGCCCTTTCTAAACAGGACTGACCGGACTCACGGGGGCTGTGGGGACAGAGCGGTGTCTGGGTATCCAGCAGTAACAACAGAGGGGCCATCCTGTGACCTCCCCTCCATTTGCTGTGAGACCAGAAGCTGATCAGTGTTGCTCATTAGAGTATTAGCTCTGTGGGAAGCTCTAGGACAGAATTTGGGGTAGGGAGACATGGAAGGGGACACCAGCAGGGCAGCTGAAGGAAGCAGAAAGCAGAGGACACAGGGAAGGAAGAAATGTCAGGTGTCCCCAGGTGTGACACAGGAAAGTGACTCACTGGACCCTGGGTTGTCAGAGGGAGGGATGGTCCAAAGTGTCAGGTGAATGAAGGGTGATGCCCACAGTGATAGGGATGACTATCCTGACACAGGTGAGGTCAGGTAGGAGAGCAGGTAGGGGCCTGATGATAATATGCCGTCCCTCTGTCACACAGTGACCATAGTGTGACATGTGGAGAGGTGTGGGGACACAAAAGAACAGGCCTGAGAGACACCTTCTCTCCCCACAGGAAGGATGTAGGTAATATAGTAACCACCTATGTGAGGGCTTAGTCTGCATCATTCATTCTTTCTCCCCATATTCATTTTTTAAATTTTATTTAAATTTAAATTTTATTTTATTTTTTCAGTGTTCCATGATACACTGTTTATGCACCACACCCAGTGCTCCATGCAATATGTGCTCTCCTTAATACCCACTACTAGGCTCACCTCACCCCACCCCCTTCCCTCCAAAACCCTCAGGTATTTTTTCTCAGAGTTCATAGTGTCTCATAGTTCATCTCCCCTCTGATTTCCTGCAATTCACTTTTCCTGTCCATCTCCCCATGTCCTCCATGTTATTCCTTATGCTCCACAAATAAGCGAAACCAAATGATAATCGACTGTCTCTGCTTGACTTATTTCACTCAGCATAATCTCTTTCAGTCCCATCCATGTTGATACAAAAGTTGGGTATTCATCCTTTTTGATGGTGGCATAATATTCCATTGTATATATGGACCTTATCTTCTTTATCCATTCATCTGATGAAGGGCATCTTTGCTTTTTCCACAGTTTGATGACTGTGGTCATTGCTGCTATTAGCATTGGGGTACAGATGGCCCTTCTGTTCACTACATCTGTATCTTTGTGGTAAATACCCAGTAATGCAGTTGCAGTGCATAAGGTAGTTCTAATTTTCATTTCTTAAGGAATCTCCACACTGTTTCCAAAGTGGATGCACCAACTTGGATTCCTACCAACAGTGTAGGAGGGATCCCCTTTCTCCACATCCTCTCCAACACATGTTGCTTACTTTCTTGTTAATTTTTGCCATTCTAACTGGTATAAGGTTTTATCTGAATGTAGTTTTGATTTGAATCTCCCTGATGGCTAATGATGATGAACATTTTTCATGCGTTTGTTAGCCATTTGTATATCTTCATTGGAGAAATGTCTGTTCATGTCTTCTGCCCATTTTTTCACATGATGATCTGTTTTTTGAGTGTTGAGTTTGAGGAGTCCTTTAAAGATCTTGGATATTAGCCCTTTGTCTGTACTGTCATTTGCAAATATCTTATCCCATTCCGTGGGTTCCCTCTTTGTTTTCTTGACTGTTTCCTTTGCTGTGCAGAAGCTTTTGATTTTGATGAAGT